CTATTGTAATATTGTTTAATGGAAATGCCGGCAGGTTTCATTTATTCAGCTGCAACACCGCGAACTAAATTAGTAATGACTGCACGAATGCATAAACATTTACCACCATTTAATGCTGACCGACCTATGCCAACACATTTCAAAGATGTTTTGCATCCTTACCCTACATGGCACACAATTAACAGTCTTTCCAAAACCTTATTTATCTAATGAATAAGACGTACTTTACCCCCGTATTTCATATAACCCCCCGGATATTTTGACTAGTAATTATATAGCACCATGTTTCTTTAAAGAAGTAATACTTAACTTTTACCCTTTTTATGGGATATTAATTAGAACGTCATAACTTCGACGGAGATCTTACAGTAGGAGAGGGGCGTAATGAGTTGACTGAGACATCATTTCCTACAGGGAATCACACATAACACCACTATATTACACAAACATCACCGCATCAAGAAAACAAACAGCAGTCAGTCTATCTGTGGTGTACAGAACGACTGGAAGAACGACCACAGTCGCTCCTCATCAATGTCTTCATACAAACTGACTGTCCTTTATGGCAGGCGTGCCCGAGGGCGTGCCTTCAGTGCCTCCCGTCGGGGTCGGCTGCGGTCCTCTCACAGCTGCTGATCGCGAAGGCTGCCAGCCTCGGCGGCCTTCTTGGCGGCGAACAGGGACTGCCTGGCGAGCGCGCCAGTGACGTGGCCGATGGCCGCCGCCACTGGCGCGAGGCGCTGCTAGGTGTCCTCGTCGTCGTAGAGGTCGGCGTCGTCCGGGGAGCGCGGCGGCAGTGGCAGGGGCACCGGGACCTTCTGGCCGGCGAGGGCCTGGGCGGCGGCCGTGATGGCCCCGCCCGTCGTCGAGTGCGTGTAGCCGCGGCCGCCGCGCCCGCGCCGCCACCGGCTGTACAGGTCGGCCTGGCTCACCGCCGCGTACGACACGCCCGTCGGCGTCAGCATCACGGCCGCGTTCAGGTACTGCAACGAGAGCGGGGAGCGTTAGGCTCGGGCTGCGCAGGCAGAGGGGACAGGCGGTCGAAAGGCACATCCGTCAGACGCGACGACTTGCATGCGACAATGCGACACTAAACTAGGCAGGCTCCTTCGACTCCTAGGGAGACCGATACGGATACGTATGAACAGGCCAAAATTTACTTCTTCTAGTACTAGTGTTCGCGGCTATTATTCAAAATCTAAAGTCAAGATGGCCGAGACACGAAAGAACGAAAGCTGTCTCCTTATCCTCCTCAAAGAAAGCACAAAAAGAAAAGGAAAAGAAAGAAATAAAGCGGGAATCTAGAAGATAATTATTAACTCTTGAATCATGCGCGCATTTTATTTACACCGCATGACGGGGATTTGGGGGTTCACACCACGCCACCATGCATAAGAGGGAAAGCGGGCTCGCTACAATAGACAGACATGGAGTAGGGATGTCGGAGGAGTGGCCCTGCAAATGGTTCTGGTTGCGCAGGGTGACTACGGACTGATGCAAAGGCCGGCCCCGGCGTGCACTATTTGTTGGGGCCAGTCTCTGCCTTTTGTTCGCCCGGGACGGATGCTGTGCCGGCCTTTGACGGACGAGCCGAGGGGAAGGCGGGACCGAGCCCCTCTGACCGAGACCGACTGACCCCCGACCAGATGTGACCGAGGGCCCATTAGTTGGGACTGGCCGGGCCGACGGGGGCGTCGGGCGTGCCCGCACAGGAGGGGGCGCAGCCCGGCGCAGCCGTTCTTCCATCTCCAGGCGGATACAAACTGCGCAATCGAGCAGCTACAGTACACAATGAATCAGACCGGGCCCGCCGCGCTAGGCAGAGCTGCGTGGAGCAGCTGCAGGCGGCGTTTACACGCGCTGCACCGTGCACGACGCGGAGTCCGTCTAGAGGTGCGAGTGTAGTGCGACACGTAAAGCTTGTGAAAGTAACATCGACGTTTGGCGTGGTAAAAAGCACATTCTAGCAAAACAATAAAAAATAAATATGTAATTTAGAACAAAAAAGTACGTTGATATATAAAAGTGCATTGGAAACAAAAGTTAGGTTCTTTAGGGGTACTACATTTTGGTGCCTTTACGGATGCATCACATTTCTTGAAGAAGGCGATCGGAAAGCTTCTGGAATTTTAGACTTTCAGTTCTCGGACACAGTACCCAAAGTTTTAGTGTTTTGATGAAATTTTTCTGTAGAAAAATCTCTTAAATTTTGTGAGTTTTGTGAGTTTTGGAGCGGAAGTCAGAAAAATAAGAGAGTTCTCCTATCGCCACCCCGAAGGAGCCAAATATGAGCAGTATCTTCAGTATGGCACTAAAATTCTTAGTACACCCCGCACAAGTGCTGTCCCGTGTTTCGGTTTCCAGTGTGCGTGGAAGCATCGGCCGAAAAGGCCAGGCGGCATGGCTCTAGATTGGCGTCTGGGCCGCGTTGGGCCAGACTGGGCTCGGCTTCCTGGCCGAGTGGCAGTGTTGCCAGAAACGGACGGCCCAACCCGCCAGATCCTCGGCCAAAACCCGCCAGATCGCGCTGCTTTCCCGCTAGATCGGGGGGGAGAGGGCTGGTGGGGAGCCCCCACCCTACTACGCTCCGCCAATGGGCTGCGCTGAGCCCGCGGCAGCGGGAACTTTTGAATTTCGACCGAAAAAGTTCTTCAAAATCATTGATTTTTGGACCGAAAAATCGAAAATCTTCCCGCTGACGACCAGATTTTCCCGCTGTGAGGTCTCAAATCCCGCCAGATCTGGCGGGAAACCCGCTGTCCTGGCAACACTGCCGAGTGGGCGAGGCTGGCGCTGGTTGGCGCACAGGCCGGCGTCGCCTACCGCCTACTACGTTTTGCTGTCCCCTAGGGTCAAGCCTAAGTCGCTAACATCATCCCCTGCGCGCGCGGAGTCTCTGCCAGCCCTGGCCGGGCGGTTGTACCTGGCTGTCTGGGCGGCGAGCGCCTCCTAGCGCCCCTTCCTCGCGGAGTATCTCCTAGCTCGGCCCATAGCTCGGCCCCGTGCACAGGGCCGCACGCCTCGCTAGGGGGGCCACTGGCGCGTGAGCTGCACCTCGTACCCGTTGCCGTAGCGCTTGCGGGACGGGCAGCCGTTACAGTCGGGCTGGCTGCGCGAGCCCTAAGCAGCACACACCCACACAGTTTTACACACGGAACCCCGTCAGCTCACGGCAAAACCCGGTGGACTACTCCTGAATTGTTCAAAGTTGGCTATCCTCGAAATGAATGCCGAAATTTGTCGCTCAAAGTCAAAGAGTGGCCACAGAGTTTTGCAGTGCTCGCAACCAGTGGCGCGCCCAACCGCGCTAGAGTGGGGGAGGGCCCGCTGGTCCGACCACCCCCTTAAACTCCGGCGGGCTGGCTAAACGTCACCGAATGTTAGCCACATTCAGGAGTTCGAACACAAAT